CCGGAATAAAATCATCGTCGTCATCGAATTCCATTATTAGTAAATTTATGAAATAATTGCAACAAAAAAACTCTAGATTTGGTAAATGGTGTAATATTTTACCGCACTTGAAAAGTTAACGCAAGCTTGGAACTTTACCTTATAAATATTCATGCAAAATTGCCATCCTGTACGTTGATTAATATTCATGAGTCAAAATTCGCTGTAGCGTAACGTGAATATTAAACGAGTCAAATATGACCGGGAATTAAGTCACAACCGTTTAATAAAGAAGCAGTTGCTCTTATTACGATAGTGGTGAGCTGTGGTTTATTAATATTCTGAGTATCATACATGGCATGCGAAAAACACGTATTTTTCAAATTTTAATGCATTTTCATGAAGCTTGGGTAATTTTGGGCAATTTTTGCTGAATCTTGAGTAATTTCGACCCAGACATTGGGTATATCAAAAATTGTGAGTGGTCATACACACTGCCCCGGTGTGTTATTCATTTGCATCTACTAGGCCAAAAGAATATAGGCTAGGCCTACGTGTTTGCAAAATTGGATAACCTGAAAAAAAAAAAAAAATAAATGTATGGCTCGCATGGCTCGCTGGCTCGCATGACTCGCACGTTGGCTCGCATGACTCGCTGGCTCGCACTTTGGCACTACTCCAACAAAGCCCCTATATCATTTCCCTGCTACGAAAACATGTTCAGTTTGAACTCAAATTACGCTTCTGTACGAAACTGTAAGAAAATGAGACATAAAAAAAATGATAGTTAACAAGTTGCATAAACTATTTGTCCTAGTTATAAAATGGAGATACGTGCGGAAAATATAAAATATAACCTTTAAAACTTATCAAAAACCCATGAAAATTACAAATGACGGTGTACGAACAAACACATATATAACTCCACTTCAAATAGTCGTAACTTTTTAACGAAAAGGCGAATTTTTATGCGGTTTTTTGTAAATTATTGTTCGTAAAACTCTCTTGAGATGCAAATTTATTGAACAGCGAAAATTGAATAAAAAAAAAAGCTCTGCGCATGCTCTACTGGTCGTTTGTCACGAAATTATTTTCTCTACAAAGACAAAATTCGGATCGTCGGAAAAGTACTCTATTGACAAAAGACAGGCAGTTACTCACGGTTCTCTTAGTACACCACACTTCGCTCATTGGCTGTAGATAAGTAGATAAATGTGTTTTGACTCCTTCTAAATAACAACTCCCTGGCCTAACTAGGTAAGGCCTTTCACTATTCCCTGATTTACCTCATTTCATGTAGTGACTTGTCGCCTTAAAATCCCTAATTACTTACTTGTTTTAATGATGAACAAACGAACGTCACCATTCGATGACACGTAAACACATTCGCAAAAAGATCACCAACCGTTTAGGCCAAACAATCCAGTGATCTGATTGGTCGATAGTAGGGTAGTCGCCACAACGCTAAATTCAGAATTTGGGGTAGTCGCGAGAGCTATCACAACGCAGATTTAGTCAGTAAGGTTTATGAGCATGCGCAGATGTCTGCAACGCTCCATTAGTTCGTAGTCGATTGGCCGAATCAGTGAGCCCTGTTGAGTAGACGGCAATGACGTCACCTGCTGAAAGTGGAGTAGACTGACCTGCACCCCACTCGCGAAGATGAATTGGTCTACCATCAGAGTTGCCACTTGGCCTTTTTGACGGCCAGATTCCTCAAATCTGGCCGTATAAAAATTAGCCTGGCCGTAGCATTTGAAAAGTCACGGCCAAACTATATTTGGCCGAATTTTGGAAAAGATTACATTTTTTTCAATATAGGCCTAATATAACGTAGACTTGTTTTGGATATTTTGTTTTTGTTAACTTAAATTCTGTATTTGATTCTAATCTTGTACTTGTTTTTACCTGCAATAAACACTTAATATGTTTCCCGATTCAGTCGATTTGACGTAAGAGAGTTTATTTAAAAGGTAACAGTTACATTTAATAATTTAAATTGTTCGGATGAAATATATTGTTTATGAAGTTTATCCTCGTTTAAGCTTTATGAAGACAGTTCCATCTTACTAGTGGAGGTTCTATCTCTTTTGAATATTAATTAAAAACTTAATTAATTTATTATTGCCCACTTGAATCGTATAGCCCAAGGTGCGGCAGTGTTCTTTATGTAGAGCGCCATATATCAATGCTCATTCTGGTCCGATGGCACCTCCAATTTCAAGCAAGTTTTGCAGAGACTTCTCTGGAGTTAGGTTGCATATGAGAATGAAGAAGATAATTCTGATAGCAACATTGATTTATTGCTTTAAGTACTGCGACAATAACATTCAGAGTCGAATTTCGAAAGTTTAGATAAAAAAGTACTTATAAAAGTTTTCATAAGTTTGTTTTAACGCCAGTTTGTGTTACCTAACTATATAACTTAATTCATTCTAATTAAAGAGAGCCACGGATTTGCCAATAACAGGCCTTTAAATTTTTTTTTTAGATCGACTACAATGTACAATAATATTTAATACATTTAAATCAAATTTAGATCAATCTTAATATTGTGATTTTAAATAGCAGAGGTGGATTTAAATAGGAGGGGTGGTAAATAAAGAAAAGAAAAAAAAAAGAAGTTTATTTCCGGGCGTCTAGAAAAGACAAATTTCTTCTAAGATGGTGTTATTTCGATCGGACCCACTTTCGCCCCCTCTTCCCCAACCCCCCTTTTTTTTGCCCCGGTCCTCCCCCTTTCGGACGGACATCTGGATTTTCCCCTGAATTGGCCTGCATGAAAGAACATAGGCTATTTATTTTTAAATTGTTCTGTGTACATCATTTGAATTTCTTCAATTTCAAACGAATGACCGCTGATGTTCGTATCATTTTTGTAGTATTTTAAATGAATGTACACACTGTTGTCTTCTAATCGGATTAAAATCTGGCCGAATTTTGGCCGATATCGAAAAAAAGTTTGGCCGATTTGGCCGTGAGATGGCGTGTGTTTGGCCGTGAAGCCTGTTGACTATCTGGCAACCCTGCTACCAATTCCGATAAAGTTTTCCTTATTAACCAGTCAAAACTTTCGTTGAAAGTAAACATTTAGGAGGATGTCACTCCGCTGCATCACACTCAGGAATGCTATGCAGTAAAGATCACTGGTAAGTAAGAAAATCAGGGAAGGCCTAATAGGGGGCCTAGGCTCTCGGCCTAAGGCTAAAATGCCTATTTTATTACTACATACATACAGTACTACTTGGCGGTCCTACTAAATACCACACGGAACCACTCGCGACCACACGGGACCACTCGCGACCACACGGGTGCAAAAATGATAAAAATATTACCACACGAGAGTAGAAAACTACTTAATAATCAATAGAAACCAACTTTTAGTACGGTAATTATCCAAAATACGGTAAAATATATATGAATATATTAAGACTAATAATTTTACGTGTGCATTTCTTCCTTTTCCTTCCAGGTGAGAATGGAAGGTGATGTAGATCATGAGTGCACCATTTGTTCACTGTGAAATCAAATCTTACCCGTCATATGAAGCTACATGATGAACACGAGAACTGAAGAATGATGTTTGTTGTCCCCACATGAAGTGCCAAAAGCAGCTCCTGGAGTTTGTCTACCGATTTCCTGCTGTGAAAATTGATCTTGATAACCGCTTGAAAGTAAGACATGAATAATGCCAATAAGAACAACCCTTCAGTAATTGATAGTCAACACTATTTCTCAGCATCCGTGGTAATTACCCTTTATGTACATTTACTACTACAATACCAACATTACATTTAACATTAATTTATATTAAATATTATTATTTACTTATTTAATTGATTATTTATTATTAATTATTATTTAATTATTTAGTTTACTTTTTAACAGTTAACTAAATTATAACTAAATTTTAATTTTAATTAATTTACAAATAAAATTTTAATTTTTTTTATTAACTCTTCCTGTTTATTTCCCTTTTAAAATAAAGTTGTCATATTTTTACATTTACTTTCCAGAAGCACAAAGAGAAACAAGAACCACTGACAGACCTGGACCCAGATTACATTGAAGATGCTGAACTGTTGGCTGTTGCAGGTATGTTGGAAGCTCTTATGTGTTTGTGTACTTGCATTTATTAATGCAGATAGTTAGTGAAGGGAAAAAATATTCTAACTTTAAATATTAAATGCATTTTGACACCTCCAGTAGAAAAATAAAGAAATAAAGAAATTTAAACAAGGAATGTTTAAGATGACCAACAAATAACTTTTTTGTTTATTTATTTATAATTTCCTTTCTCTATAATTTCCTTTCTCTCTCTCTCTCTCCTGCCCCCCCCCCTCCTCTCTCTCTTTCTCCAATTTTATATTTTAAGAAGAGATTACATTGTTAGAATGCAAAAGTGAAAAAAAAGGAAAAGTTAACTAAAAAGTTAATTAAAATACAATGGATTTAAGATAGATGTAATTTAAAAATGTAAGTGACATTTAATTCTGGGTTGGTCGATCAGCCTATAATTGTCATGATTCACTGCAAATACCCACCCCATGCATTTTTGCAAAGATACCAATAGTCTTGCACGTCTAGCGTGATGAGACTTGTGCTTTTAGACTCAATCTCCAGAGCTCTCATGCCAGCCACCTGAATATCAATTACAGCCTGGAAGGGTTGGTGGATGGAACAAAAAAATTAATATTAGATTTTATAGGAATTTACAAAAATGGTTTCTGTTGGGCAATTAGTTCTTTGTTCAGTATAATTTTGTAACGGATTGACTGGACTAACTATACATAATTGTTATTGATAATAGTTATTTTCTTTTTCAGATGTGCACTTCAGGCCCTACAACACTGTTCTGCTTGTCATCTCATAAAAACCTACAGGCACAGGTCACAGATGCTGTTTCTTAACTATGCAAGTTTTAAAGTAGTAGCAGTTGCGATATTGTCGTTAGTTGTGTAGTACATTTTTGTTTTCCATGGTAATTTAACTTTGAATGAAGCCCATTGCCGTTAATGCGTGTGTTGCTCATTGGTAATTAACATAATTAAAAGTTCACCCGTTAATTTTTCACATCATCACCATAATTCTCATCGAACATCTCTTTACTTAAAATGTGTATAAATTATATACTGGCACTGTATTATGGCCACCATGGGTCCCCAAGGGCCTACTAGCTGCAATTTCTAATTTTAAATTCCAAACTTGGAATCATAACAATGACATAACAATTTTAAAAAATAAATAAAACAGTGAGTCAATTTCCAGTTAAATTGAAATTATTCTACATAAATGTTTTTTAATGAAATTATAGTTTACTGCAGTTACTTCTATATTGTTGTTTCTGATGCTGTAAGCATTTTAAACTAAGTACAGAGACCACTGTAATTTACAGTGAAGCCTTTCCTGATAAGCTGCTTTTGCTACTATTCTACTATCACACACTATGTGTGTAAGATTTTTAAAGTACAGTATATCTATCTATGATGTATGATATCAAAATGTCACTGCTGTAAATTGTTAATAAAGGACCTTACAAATTGATCCAAGGATTTACTGAGTTTAGTACTATTATTATTTTTTTGTTATTCCTTTAGGCCACAGCGAAGGAATTACCACAGCAACTTAATGGTGATGATAATGATGACGCTGATGATGATGATGATGATGTTTTAGCATTTATATAGCGCTCTTTACTGGAGTCTCTCGGCGCTAAAAATGTATGAAATATGAAAAAGATTCCGCAGCCAGGATTTTCAAACAGTTTATATCAAGGTGGACCCATTTTACGCATAAATTAAAATAATGTTTTTATTAATATTTAAAAATGATTTACAGTAGGCCTAGATCAAAATGACAAACACTACACGTATCGTCTTTCTGAACCTGTCAAAGTGCCGTCGCTTTGGAAACCGCTCGGGTGCTGCCTCCGATGATAGGCGAATGAATAGTGTGACGTCATGTCATTTTGAGGGATGGAATCTAGTGCCGACCATACTGTACATGCAAGTGGACTATGTAATCATTCAAGCAGAAACTACTTAACAGGCTTCTCCTTTTTCATCAAGGGTAGCATTTATATGGCCTGTAAGTAAAGATAACAGATCAGCAGTTGACCTAGAATGCCTAAAACCAAATTGGCAGTCAGTGAGAAGTTTGTTGCTTTTTAGATAGTCAAGTAGCTCTTCATTAACAAAACATTCAAAACTTTTACCGATAACAGAAAGTAGGCTAATAGGTCTATAACTAGATGGTTGGGACCTTTCGCCAGCACCCTTAAAAGTAGGAACAACTGAAGCCAGCTTCCAAGGAGATAGAAATACCGAGTTAGCTAGACAAGAATTGTACAGCTTGTACTGAAGAAAGCTCAGGACTACACATATTAAGGATTATTACAGCTGGGATTCCATCAGGGCCTGAAGCCTTACGTGAATTTAATTTGAGAATGACTTTAGCAACCTTCTTTGGAGTGATGAGTGGAGTATGGATCTTCTCTTCGGTTCTCAATGGAAAATCAGGTAAAGGGCAACCACTATCATCAAGGGTGGAGTTAGCAGCAAATAATTGAGCAAAGACATTTGCCTTGTTAACAGGAGATGTAATTACAACGGGTCCTTGAAAAAGAGGAGGGATTGAGGATTTATTGTTGTTGATAACAGAGTTGGCAATACGCCAAAAGTCTCTTGAGCCAAGTTGCTGAGAGGAAATTGTGTTAGCAATTCGCTCGGCATAATGTTGTTTAGCATCTTCAATCACTCTCTTGCACCGATTACTAGCTTGCCTAAACAACTGCCATGAAGCTTTAGATTTGGTCCGAGTGTGTTGTTTAAAATAATGATTTCTGTGAGCAATAGCTACAGAGCAAGATGAAATTTTCTTGATGGAATATAGGCATTTATAGCCACATGAATCAATCAACAATCTCTACAGCGGCCAGCTCAGGGCCCAAACCAACAACGGAAGACCACGGAATGTCAGATAGAAACGAGCGCAAACCATCCCAGTCAGCATTATGAAAATTATAAACAATACGATGATAAGCATACTAATCTAACATCCCTCTTTTTAAGGAAATGAGGTTGTGTTTATGTATAACAATTTACATGAAATATATATGAATACTATATCTTGCTACATTGTCTCGTGTCATTGTTGTGGTTCTGTCTGATTAGTGTAGTATCTGCTATGATGTAAAATTCACAAAACAATCAATGTCCATTTTGTATACAGTATTTCCATTAGAATTATTATGATCTTTGAATCTTTCGGGCAAGAATCTCGTTTAGACTTTTCTCCGATTTCTTTAGCATGTTTTTGAGTGTTTCGTTCGCCCCCCCCCCCCCCATTGGCTTGTTGGTGGTGAGGAGCACTTGTTCTGTGGATAATCTCGTGTGTATTGCAGAACTCTGTAAGTGTGTCACTGGTAAGCTGCGGGCCGTTGTCTGAAATCAATATAGTGGGGTTACCAAAAAGTGAAAATATCGTTTCAAGCTTGTTGATAACTGTATTACTTGTTGTATTCATCATTTGGTCTACCCATATCCTGTGAAGTAATCAACTGTTAAGAGAAACTGCTTGGCTCCAAACTCAAACAGATCAATCCCAACGATTTCCATAGCTTCAGATATGTGAATAGGTTTCACTGGCAATTTGGACTGATTTCTTTGATTGGTGATCAGTTTGCACTATGATAACAGCATATTTCACAGCTTTGGTTGATCCACTCCCATTTTCCTTAATGTTTATTACATCAAGATTAAAACCATAGTCTGCTGGGTCTTCAATGTCATCTGGCAGTACATTTACTTCATGTGTATGTCTTGGTTGCTTTTGACTAGAAAGACATTTCGTTGCCCAGTGGTTTCTTTTCCCACATTTTTTACATCTATGTAGAATCTATGTCGTTCATACAAAATGTTTCTTGTAGGCTTGAAATGCTCATGTAACTTTGTTAGTATCGTGTCATGGTCGTTCATCTCGTCCTCTGTAAGCCCTAATGTTCTCAGTCTTTTCCGACAGTCACCTCCCATAATGGATCTGAGTGTAGCAACTTGAATATTGGCGTTTTTCTTATCTAAGCCTACCGCTATACGGTAATCTGTCCAGGCCTCCCTGAACGATATCCATGACTTCTCGAGGTTGCGTGTAAATGCCATAGGCTGGGGCGGTGGTATGGCGTAGGCCATGATAATACAAAGTCTCGTTCGTACGGTGTACGCTACTCACGGTTCACGTTGTGACTCGTTGGACGCCGTGGTACGACGTTCTCTTGGCGTGCAGAGTGGCTAGGCCTAGCTGAATGGTTTTATTTTATCGTTTACGCAAAGGAATCACCTCAAAGTGGCTTGTCCTTTGGTCGGGGTCACCATGTTATGTTTCTTGAACACCGATTGTAAAGATGACAACGTCAAACGTATATAAACAACGATAACAATGAGTTTTATTAAACTTCAAAATCACACGTTTCCATGGGTGCAAGTCATGCTCTGCAACAAGTCAGATGCGATGCTTGCATCCAACATACTCTCACTTAAGGCAAGAATGTCCGGGGGATTACTAAAGACAGAAGCCTGAACAGAAGCAAAATTAGAACGAAACCCACGTGGAAAACTGAATAAGAGGTTTAGCACGGGTTGACGGGTAGACACGTGCAGGTTAGAGGATTTTTTTCTTTTTTCATGAATTGTCTCAGAAATGTCTCAGAGGAATTCTAAGAAAAACCAAACATACGTTTGCCGTATACCAGGCTTACTATTTGGAACCCAACGTATCACATTGCCGTAACAATGCCACTCTGATGGCCTCAGGACTGTAACCGAAGGTAACTGCACGGACCGTCATCCATGCATGTCCATGGCAATGCAGCAACATCGACATTTAACACTTGCTGATAGGTCAGCCTCTGAAAGCATTACCAGTCAGTTAGGGACCCTGTACTATCAGGCGGCCATGACCTGGGACATGTTTAAATCCGGTACCCTTCAGAGAGAAATTAGATGGTAAATATTAGAGCTTGGATAGGGACATTTAGTATACAAGGGGCACCATAAAAAACCAGAGGTTAGAAAAACAAAAACCAGCAGCCCTAAAGCTATGTCCTGAAACAAAGTAAAGGGTGGGGTAATGAAGCTGGGTGAAGACAAAGTCTCCTACCCCATATTTAATTAGAGGATGGCCGTTGGCAAAAAGAAAGCTCATCCGCCCTTCGGAAGGTCTTATTTTTAATCCTCCAGGGTATCCACACACCCACCTCACATGGATAACCATGTGGGGGAGCCGGTTTAGTCGCCGCCAAACCGACCATGAGGCAGGTAGTACTGGGTTACATGGTACCAGTAAGTAACAGGGGTTCTGACCTGACCTGTTCATAAGTGCTTATCAGAAAATCATCCCGTATTTTGAAGAACAAAAATAATTGCATCTGCTTGAGGTTTGAAGTTAATGATGATCTACTTAAAATTTAATTCAATTTCTGAAGTGTTTTTATTTGTTTTTCGGCAGGCAATATATCTTATAAACAAACTAAAATAATCAAATCAAAGGCATGTTTTTCAACCAACTACTATTCCCACTGTTTTCTACATGTACAGTAAATGAAACCGTATCGAAATTAAAAAGATTGGTTTGTCAAAATTGTTTTTACCTGATTTTTTTTGCATGCCTTACAATAGATGCAAACCATAAATACAACCTGCAACCAAGTACATTACTGATGTCACATGCAAACATATTTCACAATTCACATAAGCTGAGACAACTAAACTGTATAATTCTCAGATGAAAGTAATAAATGCCATCTTGATTCTATATTTCGATTTTCTTCATTCATCATATCAACATTTTTATAAATTTTTGTTCACACTAGTGCTTTTTTCATCTCTCAACTGAATTCTGAGTCACTGAGTGAGTAGGTATGAGACCATCAACCATATTACAGGGCGCAGAATTAATGCAAGTGAATTATAATATTGGCTAGTGGTATTTCAACCGCCTTCCAACCCCAAATTCAACTCTCTACCACCACCTGTGGTTGCGGAGATACAAGGACCTTATAGCTTTGACCTTGACATTTGACCTTTCGCCACATTTTGAAAATATGTTACCAAGCACAAAATGATTCTTGGACCACCCTGAACCAATTTCTGAAGTAAAATTCTCTGCACTTCAAGGTGCATACAAAACTTGGTCTGGTTCCTAGGGTATTAGACATACTGATTGATTATTTTATTGGAATGATCAATATACATATTAAACAAGTATTCATGGAAGTTGTGTTTAAGTAAAATATATGTATTTAAGAAAGCAAAAAAAGGTCCGAAACGAATTTGTGTAGAGCATACACAATGGAATCAGGCAGAC